AAGATTAGACTACGTTTTCTTTAAAATATCTTACATTGAGCAAAATAGTTACTGTATGTGAGCCTGTAATGAACCGGGCTACATTATGATGCACAGTAAATGAACCGGGCTACATTATGATGCACAGTAAATGAACCGGGCTACATTATGATGCACAGTATAAACTAATACTTAGAAATGATCTAAGCATTGAAGTAACGATACATTTGACATAGAACGCACTTACTTAAACAAAATAAAGAATTAGACTACGTTTTCTTAAAAATCTTACATTGAGCAAAATAGTTACTGTATGTGAGCCTGTAATGAACCGGGGCTACATTATGATGCACAGTAAATGAACGGGGCTGCATAATGATGCACAGTAAATGAACGGGGCTACATAATGATGCACAGTCAAAGGGCTCAAAATTACGCATATTAACTTGTTTTGAAGCGAAAGCGAAAATTAGAAAAGTAGCATTGGGTTGTCACAAGGTTTTAAAGAAATCATTTGATAATATTTGCAACACAAACATAAATTTATAAGACCACTGTTTGACTATAACGGTCATTCTTTTGCAATATAAAATAATTGTAAACGTTTCCCTACGATTTTCACAATATTTTATCGCATTTTGTTCCTCATGTACGGCTTTATTCATATGTTTGTATATAATTTAACTTATTGATCAAACCCAATAAAATCCACTACATAAAACAAACTTGAAGAATAGTAAACAAGGAAAAGTGACTGCACGCATGTCGCCATCACAGTGGTGGAGATATACTCTCTAGAAGATTTTTTTAAGCACTTAAGTGGAATCAAATCAGGAAATTTATTTAAAAGTACAATTATACACGGGAGCTCAAATTAATAGCGTCCCAATCTTTATAATCGAATTGAAAAATAATGAAAACAATAAAAACTGAACATGCTATCAATACATATGCTTATATCCAGGGTCACTGAATTGAGTGTGTTTGCTTAAGCCACTTTATAGAAACACCCATTAAGGGATTTCGGTGGATCGCTAATGCGCTACAAGATGAACAAGTGCATTTAAACTGTTAATTCAAATAATTAAAAAGCAATAAAGGTGCAGATGTTTTCCGTTGAAAATGGACTTATATCCCTACGAGAGATTCTGGTAAGCCTAATATCCCTTGAGATCTATGCATTCCAGAAAACTGTATCAACTAATTAATATTTTTGTTTGGGAGCAAGCGAATATGTTTCGATCTTGTCTTATCAAGATGTTGATTAATGGGATTATTTGTCTGTATATAATAGAGTAGCACACATATTTAACATAGGTTCTTATTCTGAAACTTCGCCATAGCTTTCTTTAAGATCAGAGGTGAGAAAGACGATAAAAAAATTACAAAACAGCAGGACAAGATCAACTGTTAGAATATGGAGGGAAAATCTTAATCAAGGACTTGCTTGTTTGCATGTTTGTTTGCTCTTATAAGAAAGCCACATTGAACTATCTGCTGTGTTCACCACGGAGACTGAAATACTCGAGTTTAGAGTTCTAAGTCTCACCGGACGACTTATTTGAGAAAATATTAGATTTGATACAGTAGATGTATAAACTGAAAGTAAATAAACGGATGTAATGGAGAAAAAGTAAATAATTGTATTAATTTAAAAAGCAAAACAGGAATATAAGAATTATTGTGGTATCTTACTCTTACTGTACATTTAGAGAATGCTTACCATAAAAATTATGCTAAGACTAATGCCATTTGCAAAAATAAAATGTATACTTGGGATTACTATTGTGGGTTTAGAACAGGACGATCAACAATGTATTATATATTCACAGAACGTCAATTATGTCAAGAAATGGCGGGAAAGTAAAACTAAAACCACCATTTGTTTATCGACTTTATGTAGACAAAACCCCTACGGAATATTTCAAAGAGCCTTGGAATTCCTGCAAAATTAATAAAGCAAATTGAATGAATAAATTAATATCGTTATTCTAGTTTTAAAATGAATGGAAAAGTCTGGAGAGACTTTAGTATCTGTGCAGAAGTGAGTAAAACAGGGTTATTTGTTTTTCTCTACGTTTTATCAGTTTTGGAATGAAATATGTATCAAAGCCAGTGTAAAACACAGAGGGAGAAATAGTAATGGGAAGAAAACCAGTACAAGTGCCGGCTTATGAGGATTTTTTCTAAAGACAATATTTAAATATAAGAGGTATTTCGAATGTTCAGGAAAATGGAGACAGAATTTGGTTGGTTATTAACTGTGAAAAAACAATTAAGCCATACTTCAATCTTGAATAGAAAAAAAGAGATTACATGTGACAGATACATTACAATGTTTTACTTATTTGGAGTCATTTGTTACAGCAAAGAATGAAGTTGAGACGGAATTGAAAAATAGCATATAGTCCGCAACCAAATCTGTTCATGTCCTTAACACTCTTTATTGATATAGATTACTGTCGAGAAAAATGAAATTA